TATTTTGTTGTTGTTGTTGTTGTTGTTGTTCCTCAGGGCTCATCAACATACCTGCAGTGGCCTTTGGAATATTCTCTGGGGGGATAGTTATGAAAAAATTCAGAATCAGTGTGTATGGAGCTGCAAAACTCTACTTGGGATCATCTGTTCTTGGGTACCTCCTGTTCCTTTCCCTGTTTGCACTGGGCTGTGAAAATTCTGATGTGGCAGGACTAACTGTCACCTACCAAGGGTAGGTTCACTCATTAAGTAATCTGAGGCGATTGGCTTGTTTAATCAAATTAATTATTGATAGAGTTTCAACATAAGATAATTTGATTGTGAACATCATAAATATGAGAAAGGAATTATAGTTTTATTGTGGAATAGCTGACAGTACTTTGACATGGGAGCTGTTAGTGTCACCAGAATCTGTCATCTCCTTTGATTTTGGTTGCCTAAGAGAAATTATTAAGAATATTGCATCTCTGTCTTCGTTATATAAGGCAACCTGACAATGGAAAGTACAGACCTTGAATCTTGCCTCTGTCCATCATTAGTGAAGTGACATTGTATAGGTCATTTAATCTAATCAAACCTCAAATTTTTCCACTTTAAAAATAAGAATAATAACTACCTTATAGAATTTTGTAAGATTTAACCAAGATAATATACATGGAAGTGATTAGGACTTTCCTGGCACAAAAGAAATGTGCCATTTGTAAACACTTGTATTTTTTTTTCTTTGAACACTTGGATAACTGGAAAGGTCTCTGTGCTACTTTTTGTAGTCTTTGTTGTACTCAAATCATGTGAAGTTTCAGGAGAGAATGCTATTCCTCAGCCTGGTGAACCACACAACAGCTCTCTTTAGCTCTTTGCAGTTGGTCAAGAGAATATTTATTGATGTTTTCAGACCTATGCCATCTCGTATGGGGTGGATGACTAGTTTTCTTAGGTTCCAGGGTCTGTCCATCTTAATACAAAGCTGGATCTTGAAGGAACTACCCTGTCTTTTCCTTTCAAGAGTCCTTGCCATCTCTCTACCTCTGAACATGAGTTCCCAGACACAGCTGTCTTCGTTCTTCCACCCAGCTATATATTATCTGTTTAAATTACTCATTGAGCCACTACTGCGTGCCAGGCCTACCACACTAACTGCACTTCGTGACTGTCCAAACTCTGCCTATGGCTCAAAGGCCAATGCTCCTGATCTAATGATCTGTGTCTCTTAGTTTAGCTGCGGCTTATTTACTGCTTGCTCTCCAGCTTTCTTCCTGTGCTTCCTTCCATGCTTACCTAACTGTCTTGTCCCCATAGTCCAATCTCCATCACCCTCATTAACCTGGTTTCTCCTGCTCTTAAGTGAGTATTAGTTATACTTTTTACCATCTAAAAAGTCCAAGAAAACTAGTGACTGAGAAGTTTATATACTGTTGCTTCTGGGAGTTACCAGAAGCAGTTACCAGTTACCAGTTAACTGAGTGTAGTAACGTTGCCTTGCTAACCGTCAGCAATGTAGATTAAGGACGTTAGTTGTAAGCAGGAATTGCAAGAAGATTCTGGAGCGAGTAGAAGCCCTCTGCTGTCTTTAATTGTCCCTATGATCCTAATGGTAGGTGGACAGTGGTAAAATTCTTTGTATTTTGCAATTTACAAAACACCATAACTTTCATTATCTCACTTGTATCCTCAAAGCATCTTTATGAGGTAAGTTTTATTATCCTCATTTAAAGGAAACTGAGTTTAGAAAGGTCAATTACCTCTTCAAAGTATAATATTCTTTCTACAACATCATCGTGTCTCTAAGCCAAAAGCAAACACATAGACGGACAACAATGGCAAAGTTTTGAGGTTCATTAAAAGTTTACCCACACAATAAATGATTAAATATTTTTAAACAAATAAAAGATAATATATTCACTGCATGAGTACTAGCCTTTGAAAGCAGTTGCCTTAAAAGACTACAACTGCATTGCAATAATGCTTTCATCATCTAAAACATTCTAAAACTCCTCTTTTGAAATTGCTTTCCATGTTTTTCAGAATATTCCCAACAATGGCAAAGATTTAACCTTTAAGGGTAGCTTTGCTATTGGAAGCAGCCAAAGAAATGGCAACATCCCTGGACAAAGCTCTTGCATCCCTACATGACTCTTTTGAAAGCAAAATCCCATTTGAGTATAAATATTCTGACATATTGGATAAAAATTATCTTAAAATTTTAAATAACTCTGCCAACACATCCTTTGTAAAACATATATGCAATTAATTTCTGCTTCAAGATAGTCCTAGATGATAAATTTAACATACTTTTAGTAATATAAAATAATTGGCTTTATAGAATACAATATGCTCCCCAGGGATTATCCTGAGTTGCTTTGTTCCGCAAGGCTGTTTTGATTCTGGACATTCAACAGGAACCCTGTAGACAGCTTTAGATATGGTAATGGAAGAAACCTTTCTTCTGCAATAATGAGAGTAAGTTTGATGTGAGACAAGAAATTTAGAATCCAGGGGCCTGGAAGAATTCTCATTTTGAAGTTTGTTACTAATAAACCTTGTGAATTTGAGCCACTAATTTGCCCACTTTGGACCTGACTTTCCTGATCTGCCGAATGAGAAGTTGGCCTAGATCTCCCCCAAAATTCTTTCAACAGTAACCTTCTGAGATCCCAGTCCTACACTATCCGTAGTGGCCTGATTCTAGGCTTTCAAAGGCACTTACTTATACTTTCAGATACTACCAAACAGTCTCAATTAATTTAACAATTAATGCCTTATAGAAGAGAACAGAATGAAATACTCCTATATGACTTCTCAGGAGGCCTAGTTATGTCCTTTTATTCTGTCTGGAGACATCTCAGTGGCTTTTATGTTTGAGGTAACCAAATGCATAGCAGTTCTACTAGATGGAATATTCCATCAATTAAGAAATTATAATTGCAATCATTATAGGACATACCTATTAGAAGGAGGGGCCAAAATGACATTTATTTTCCTCCAGAATAAAATAGTGTTTTACTTTGATTGACTTACCAGAAATCTTGTTTCTTTTTTTTTTTTTTTAAGATTTTATTTATTTATTTGACAGAGACAGAGACAGCGAGAGCAGGAACACAAGCAGGGGGAGTGGGAGAGGGAGAAGCAGGCTTCCTGCTGAGCCGGGAGCCCGATGTGGGACTCGATCCCAGGACCCTGGGATCGTGACCTGAGCCGAAGGCAGTCGCTTAACCAACTGAGCCACCCAGGCGCCCCAGAAATCTTGTTTCTTAACCTAGTATGCCCCAAATTGTTCTTGGTGCTGGAGACCCAGGAGTGAATAAAACAAATACTTCCTGCCCTCACTGAGTGTACATGACAATGCACGTGGGGTTTGTTGCTGTTGTTTCAGTTTTAAGTCCCTCAAATGCTTTTGTAAAAAAAAGAGAGAGAGAGAGAGAGAGAGGAGGAGAATAATCAAGTAAATAAATTTGAAATAATAGAGAAAAAAAAAAAGAATGATGGAGTGCCAAGGGATGAAAAATAAGGTACAGGTAGAAGAGAAATACCATTGCATAAGTATGCCCTGAAAAGAATAAAGGAATATGAAAGGAACAAGGAGAATAAAAGTAGAAGGATGAGGTCATTCAAGTGAGGGGAAGAAATAGAAGTGAAAGAGAAGGAATTCTGGGAGAGATAAAGGGGGAAGGTAAGACAGAATGACAGGGAGAGAAAAGAGAGAAGACCATCAAAATTATGTAAAGTTAACTGTTAGAGCAGAAAGCCAGCTCCTTAAGGGCAAATATTGTCTCATTCATATTTGTAACTATCTTCTCTCCTCCCAAAGCTAGCACTTAGAAGGCTTCCACAAAATTTTTGAACACATGAGCAAATGAATGGGTAAGTCATTGGAAAAGCATGTGCCAGAGAATCAGAAAGAATTACCTGAGATATGGAAGAGCTGCATAGAGTGGGAGATTTTGAGACAGAGAAAAGTTAGATGAACTGGCGATGCATTTATTAGTAAGACACAAATAGGATGTGTAGCTCTTCCAAACTGAAGTCTGTTGACATAATGTTGACTACTTGACTGTTTTCTTTCTTTTACTGCACCATCAGCAATGCCCATTCTACTGATGCCGAGACAGTTGTGAAGGAAATTTACACACAAGCACGCATGCTCATGCACACACTGCCTGCAATGCATTTAAGTAATGTCATTAGTTGCTCTAGAAGTTTACTTTTCTGCTTTGTTAGCCACTTTCCTACATCTTTGCATAGAAATGTATTAGAAGATCCTAGAGATCGTCGATTTTAGTAAAAACCATAAACCAAGAACTGGATATTATGTGAAGGTGTAAACCTCTAAAGATAACTTTCAAGAGAAAGCTTCTTAATAGTAGACTCACATTTAATAATCAGAAACTGGCATTTCTGATGACAATTGTGTTTCCAAAAGGCAAACTCCGTTGGCACTGCCATTTATATTACTCAAGAACACTGATTTTTGAAGATATTAGGGTGCTGCCTGCTAAGAGGTAATATTTTATACTGTTACATTTCTTTTCAGAACCAAACCTGTCTCTTATCATGAACGAGCTCTCTTTTCAGATTGCAACTCAAGATGCAAATGTTCAGAGACAAAATGGGAACCTGTGTGTGGTGAAAATGGAATCACATATGCATCGGCATGTCTCGCTGGTTGTCAAACCTCCACCAGGAGTGGAAAAACTCTTGTAAGGAATCCCTACTGTGTGTGCCTGTGGTGTCTTCTCTACCACGTAACTAACTGCACAGCTCTCTGGGAGCTCAGGGACCAACCCAGAAGCAGATGGCACTAGCAGCAGCTCTGGCTCTGACTCTACCCTTGTTCTTTTATATGGATATAGGAAACATCTCCGTCGCTAGTGGGCTAGAATTGTTTAAACAATTAGGCTAAGAATTAGAATCATGAAACATGCTGGAAGAGACTTGCAATGATGTGGTGAAGTTCTTTCATTTTGCTTGTGAGGAATATTAGCCTCAAATGAGACAGTCTCAGTCATAAGATCATATGATAAGATCTGCACTGGGATCCATTTCTTCTGACCCCAAGGCCAGTGGTACTGGGAGGTTTTAGGGACAGGACAAATAGAGGCCAGTGTTAGAAAGTCTAGCCCAAGAGGTTTAGACCCAGGGATCATGAGCTCGATTTTGAGGAGATTGATAGTTCCAGATACTCTGCCTGAGAAATCAAGCTTGTGTGTGCAGTAACGAAAAGAGTAGGTGGCTGGAATGAAGGAGTTCTGTAGGGTAGATGACAGAGATGAGGTTGGAAATAAAGGTAAGAAATCAGTTGTGGAAGATATTATGTACTTAAATCATTAGACTCATTTCTCCAGTCACACCTTTACATTTCTGCACCAAACATACCTCTTGCACTCTGTTTTCATGGCTAGTGGTCAGACTGCTGTCTACTTGTGCTGATGAAATCTGTCTGTATTTGACAGTCCTAGAGGGCTGAAAATTAACCCACACATCTATTTACATATGCTTATCAACTAGATAAGAATGCTTAGGCAAAGACTTCTGTAGATGTAGAGTAACAAGTTGATTTTCTCTCTGTTTATTGTTACTTTGACATTTTATTCAGAGTAGAAAGGACTGGCTTCCAGCAACAGTGAAGAGGACTACCCACCCAACTGAAACTGAGTTTTTGACCTTCATTCCCCTTTCCCTCCCCTCTCCCTCCCTCTTTTTTCTTTTTTTTTTCTTTTCTTTCTTTTCTCTTCTCCTTCCTTCCTTCCTTTTTCTTTTTCTTTCTTTCTTTCTTTCTTTCTTTCTTTCTTTCTCTTTCTTTCTTTTTCTTTCT